AGAGCTCTACAGCTTTGCCCAGGACCGCATAATATTACCAGAGGAGATGTTGGCATTCCACGGGTTTGGACATGTGGAAATGCCGCCCAGCTTGGGCTGTCGTGATCTGAAGCGAATGGCAGGAACAGGGATGAGCCTGCCGTGCATAGGCTCAATCCTGCTTTCGTATCACATTATGCAGACAAGGGTCTGCAGTGATCGGCAGATGTGATGAGTAGGTGCAAAGTGCCCCTCCAAAGCATTTCTTGCGAATGTTTTCTTCGCCGTCACAGCCATAGCGGTCATAGCTGTCGTAGCAGCCATGACATACTGAGCTTACACAGACTACATCCATGTCATGCAGAATTTCAAACATGTCTTTGGTTGGCTTGCTCTGGAAGTCAGATGATGAGTCATTGTCATCGTACTTCAGGAATCAGTGTGGTGCCCATTAGCCCCCCCCAAAAGCAGAGTACTATAGGGATGAGCAGTTGTACTAATAGTCCTAATAGTCCTAATAGTAGTATTTAGTAGAAGCATCACACTTGAAAAAAATCTAAGAGTCTGTGCGTAAGCTTAGGCCCTAGGCAAAGCTGGGACAGCTTCCGGAAGATCCAGGGTCTGGAAGGCCTTGCTTCCTCTTCACGTGGGCCCCGCTGTGTGTAATGAGGTGTAGAGTAGATTTTCGGAAGATGCTTTCACACAGAAGCAGATGCCCAACCACTCAATGTTGCCCAGCCACCCTGTGGTACAGCTTCACAGGGTGACTTCTTGCGCAGCAGTGTCCCCATCATAAGTGCATAAAGGCAGAGATGTATAGTAGGCTTAGACTATGTAGGAATGTAGGCTCCTTTGCCACATGTACGGTTCAGTTATGTCGCCCAAAGTTGAGTGAACCTCTGTTGGTTGGGCTGGGGGCTGCAGGTACGACTTCAAATTTAATTCATCCGCCAACAGTTACTGCACTGCAAGGCAAAAGGGCTATGCTATGCTCCTGATGCCACAGATGCCACACAACCTGAAGGCAGTGTGTCATCTAGGTACTAGCTGTCATTCGCAAACCATAGCAAAGCAGGTGGTGGGGCCTGTGCGGATGGAGTGGTGGGGCGGGAATGTGCTGAAGATCCTGCTGATGTGTGGCCGGGAGGTGCAGGAGGGGATTGTTGGACGCCCAGTGCTCACGCCGGTGGTGTGTCAAATCCTGCTAGCTAGTAGTGGTTACTATTATATTCTACTCCTGTGTTAACTGTTAGAGAGCGCATTGGCACCGCCTGAACGCCTTGCCATTGGTCATGACTTGGCCCAAAAGCGGCTGGGAAAGGGTGGCGGGGGGATGGAAAATTGAAAAGTGGATACAGGTTTGCTTACACAGGACAGCCAAATGAATGGAATCAGGGGTTTGAAAATCATCAGCAACAGAATAGAATAAAGCAGATTGAGCAGCAGCAAGAAACAACAACAAATGAAACTTGTGAACTCCGGCAGCTGTGCTTGTTGAGCGATATAGGTGACATAGATGGCAGATGCAATGTCATGTGTGGAATGTGGAAGAGTCTAGCAGCTGCTGGCTGCTATCTAGCTAGTGCAGACAGTCCATGTGGATGCTTGCGCAAGTGCAACCGCAGTTTTAGGCTAGGGCGCATCTTTCCAAACCCGTCTTCCTTGTGACCTTGTGGTCAAGACTTCGCAGTCGGGGCATGGGCCGTCAGGTGCGCATGCAATGTAGAGTGTAGGTGTAGACATGTGTGTAGACTGTAGGCAACAACACCAATGAAAGGATTTTGGCACCCAGGTAGCTCAAGAACCAGTAGTCAGTAGTCCATGGTCAGTCAGTAGTAACGAAAGACACTTCATTGCAACATCTTTTTGTGTCCCAGCACTCTGTATGTGTCCCTGCAGGCAAAGAGACCACTTCCTGCAAAGGCAGCTGCGCAGCCACCTCCAGCACGTGCTCGTGGCAGCATTCTGCGTTGTGGGCTATGCGGCTGCTCCAGCAAGGACACCCAGAAACATCTAAGTCATGGGACATGGTGAGTTTTGTGTGAGCTGTTGCGATGTCTGCAGCTTCACTCCATGTGATGTTGTAGCATGCAAGCATAGCTTGCAGCTTAGCAGGAGCGTGACTTCCATGAGGTCCACAATGCATGCTTGAGATGCCATGTGGCAGTCGTCACAGGCCATGGCAGGGAGTGGGACGCGGGCTTGATTGAGGCGAAGATGGATGCAGCCTTCAAGGAACAGCTGCTGGAAACTTGCAGCAATTTGGAGAAGGTCGAGAATGGTGAGGCTGCGCCAGAGTTCCATCCTCCGTCGGCTGTTGATGCGCGACACTGCATCGGGGAATACTCGTATGTGGAGGTATTGTATTTGTCCCCAGAGCAGATTTTGCAACATGCAGGCGCATTGCCTGAGGAGCTCAGCTTGCCTCTGGTGCAACGTCTAGCTGAAGATGGGGAAACCATCCTCCGTGGTGTTTACCTCAAGGCAGACGACCTGCCGGAGGACCTGTCATGGCAAACTTGGCAGTCGTTCCGCAAAATCCGCATGTTCAGTGAGACATCGTATCTTCATTCCAAAAAGGTGTTGACTCCCGAGTCGCAGATTTCGGCCAACCAGGGCCCAAGCTTGGTGTCCATGCTGGAGAGACGTCGCGCTGCCAAGGATGAGGCCCGGCCCCTCCCAGCAAAGCTGTCTGAGCTAAAAAGCTTGAAGCAGCTGAGGGTGAAGGCTACCCAGCTGAACATCAGCCGGAGGCAGCAGGAAAAGGAGCTTGCCAGCCGCATCGCAGCAGAGGGTGGTCTTGCTGCAGAACCCATCGAAATCATTGATGAAGCCAAGAAAAACGCTCTGGACAAGTTCAGGGTGGATTCAGCTGATGCTGTTCTTGTGCCTGAGAATCTCAGGCGCAAGAGGCGCAAGGCAACAGTGCCAGCAGTTGCAAAGGATTCAAAAGATGATGGACCCGATGCAGCTCCTTCTGAGGTGCTCCCGAACCTCAAGGCCATCATCCGTGTCCAAGGTGAGCGATCTGCAGGATGCAGGTGAGAAGCAGGTAGATGACGCAGCCATCAAGGCAGCGCTGAAGCATGACGTTCCAATGCAGCGAGTGGCCTTGTACCTTGGCAAGCTCCCGGACTGTTTGCTGGCACTGTCAACCAAGAAGTGCATGCAGGGCACTAAGCTTGGCAATCAGACCAACGCTGCGATGGGCTTAGAGTTTTTGGAGTGCTCTGTGCGATCACTGTAGGTGCAGCCTCATGTCTTTTTCTGCAACCATTTGGTTGAGGCAAAAAAGCTGCTGCCAGCTTTGAAAGGGGAAGCTGAGGAGGCGATGCTTGCAAAGCGCATTGCGGTTATTGAGTCCATCCAGGACTTGGTGCAGGCGAAAGACCTCAGGCGCATGGACAAGACTGAGCGTTTGAAGCGCTACCAACTCCTGAAGGCCAATGACGTGGAACCCTCAGAGGAGCTGAAGGTCAGTGTGGTCAGGGTCGCAGCTGAAGAGCATGCTCGCAAGATGTGTGAAAGCTTGCAAGACGCAGATCTGCAGCTTTTCCTCAGCATCATTAAACCGTTCACAGATGATGCTGTTGCCTTTGACTTCTTCCACCCCACCTTGGCAAGCATTGTGGCAGAGGCCGTTTCTTCTTCCGAGGATCCAGATGTTGCCATGGCTGGCTGGGGTGCCCTGGTGAAGTATGAGCTCCGAGAGGACAATGAAGGACAGGACCAGAACACTGCTGATTGGGAGGCAGGCGGCCTCCCGTTTTTGCTGCGAAGTCAAGTCATGTGTTTACAGTTCATGCAGTAAACACCAGATTGTGAACTAGCAGCTAGCAGTAACTAGCAGTGTGTTGCAGTCTGCCCATGAGGGAGGCCTAGGGCCTAGCTAGGGACTTGGGGCCCAATGAAGACAACCCCCCCTCTGACTATGTGTTGCGTGAGGCTTTGGCAGATTGCTTAATACGAGCTATCTCCAGTGGGCCTATCGTCAAGGCATTGACAGCTTCTGTGGAGACTCCGGCGGGTGTGAAATTTCTGCTGAAGCTTGCGGAGCGCATTGTCATTGAATTTACCGAGATGTCCCTTCCAGATGGCATGCAGGGGAAGTTCCAAACTTTCGAGGAAGCCATTACAAGGATTATCAGATGGGCAAGGTGCATCGTTGCGTTGCTTTCTCCAATCCCACTTCATCTTGAGGGGAGTGTTGCGATGGTGGAGGATTTGATGCGCAACAAGGCATGGGATTTCTTCATGGAGGAAGGCCTCAGAGATGCACTCTCAGCGCATGAGTTTTGGCAGCAGAAGATGAAGGCAGCCCAGGAAACAGCCGAAGCTGATTGCACGTACAGTGGCCCCATCTCAGAAAGCATCCGCAAAATGAAGTCAGCCCAGAACATTGTGCAATCAATGATGGCAGTCAAGGACGCCCTGGCTCTCTGTGCTTCGCATCGAGACCAGCTAAGGCCAGGGGCCTTCGCGCCGCTGGAATCTGTTGCCAGCACGCAGCTTCTGGGCATTGCGCAGGAAGTCTTGGCATCAGATTCCTGTGCAAAGGAAGGTGAGTCTTTGTCAGTCGATTGCGCATGGCTGATCAAGGTTCTCTCGGATTTGCCCCCAGCCCAAGGTCAAGCTGATGTTGCAGACATCATCCTTCGCCTCAGTGAGTGGCAGGAAGCCAATTCGGGAGCTCTCTTAAAGAAGGAGTTGGTGGAGCTGGCAGATAAAACTCCAGTGGATGCCTTCAAGATCCAAGACTTTCAGCGCATTCTCGATGCCATGCAAGCTTCTCCGGGACATGTGAAGGAGGTCATTTATGAGCCGGGGACTGTCCTCATATGCCGCACCCTCAAGACTCTCACTGAGAAGGCCAGGTGCATTTGTTGTTGCCATTCTTTGTTGCTGAGTCTAAGTCTAAGTGTGATGCATTGCAGTTCTGGTGTTGCAAAAAATTTCTAAGTGTGATGCATTGCAGTTCTGGTGTTGCAAAAAGTTTGTTGATGTCTTGATGGAGTGCGCAGGGCCAATCGCTGGGCACAGATGAAGCTTTGCATGATTCGGTGCTGAGCATGAAGAAGGACATCATGTCTGCGAAGAGGATTATCGCCATCGCTGCCCATCCTCGGCAGCAATGGCTTTCGATGCAGGTGTGTTTGCATGAGGAGGTCGGATGTCTCATGACAGCTCTGAAGAGGAGTCTCGACTTTGGCAATGATGCCGATGCCCAGTTGCAGGGTGACCCGTATGGCAAGTGCTTCGAAGCGTATTCCAGAGTGGTGTCTTCAATGCAGTCATTGATCCAGAAACTCCGAAAGTTAGAGGCGGGCATGACAGCGTGCGAAAACTCCTCAACTGTGGAGGCAGAGGAGGGACGTGGAAAGATGGTTGAGGCTGATGCAGCCTTCCTGCAGAATTCCTGTGTGAACGCCTACGAGAAGATGCTCACAAACCAGCAGAAGTTGGTGGGTGCTTGGTGCCAGGTTCATTCAGGAGCTATCTCTGCCAAAGTCAAAGCTCTGCAGGAGAGCAGTAAGGGCTTGTGCATAAGCGGGGGTAATTCCTGGAAGAATGGGCTGGCTGCGGATCTTGATCTGAAAGGCGTCCTGGATGCTGGCAGCCCCAAAATCAACTCCATTGATGGTGCGCAGGTGAGCAAGGATGTGCTGGACTTGAAGCAGGTTCGTGCTGGGGCTAGGGCAGGGGGATTGAAGCCATTTGCATATCTTCTGAGGCATTGTGATGTGCAGGGTAATTTCCGTTTCACAGTCTGTGATCAGGTGTGCGACAATGCCAAGAGCTTCCTGGAGAAGAACACGGTTGCGTTGCAACTCATGGGCGATGAAGCTGTCAAGGCTCTTCAGAGCAACGTGAAGGATGGCACGCGCACGGTCATGGAGGGTGACACCCTGATCATTGAGGGGATGATGATCAGAGCATTCATGCAGAAAATCCCTGTGAAGAAGAAGAACGACTTGTTGGTCACGCAAATGGACAAGAAAGCTGACAAGGAAATCCCGGATGACTTCATTCATCCCGTGTTGTTGTCATCGGCCCTTGATGCGACAGCTTCCTTGCGCCAGTCCAGGGACAACACTGGAATGGCAGAACCCGTGGCCTGAGACTTCAGCTTGGCTAGAGTAGTCTAGAGTAGATTCTAGAGAGCAAGCCATCCTGCTCAGTTTGATGTTGGCTATTGATTGTAATTGTAGTTTAGCTTCAGCTAAAGCTAGAGTACAACTCCGTAGATTGAAGATGCGTGATGATTGGGGTTGTATTAGGTCTGGTGCAAGGCTTAGGGCAGGCTTGGCTTGTATCTCAGAAGCAGCGCGCATCGCCTGCTGAACTTTTGCATAGCCGCATAGCACGGCTGTTCACTGCCTTAGGGCTTAGGGAACCTAGGACCTCGTGCAGATGTGCTAGCTGTGGGCTGTTCCAAGCGTTAAGTATGCACTGGCTAGTCTAATGGCTACAGGCTACTAGCTATGTAGATGTATTACTAAATTACTGACTACTGATCATGGGCCATCATGGGCCATCGCGGGAATTTTGGGGCAGCCTGTGCTGCTGCACAGGTCATCCTTACCGTCCAAACACTGAGGAGAGCAAACATTGAAAAGGCCATGCATCAGGATTGCTGCTCTGCAAGGCAGCTTCCTTCAAGTGTGTTTGGGCACACAGAGTTTAGGGTTTGGGTTTGTGGTTCTAGGGTTTAGGGGGATTTTCGGATCTAAGGTATAAGGCTTCAGAATTTAACATGTGGAGAATCTGGGGTGTAGGGTTGAATGTCTAAGGTGTCGGGTTCTAGAGTTTAGGGCTTGTCCAGCATCCAGGAAGCTTAGGGAGTTGAGGTGGTTTAGGGAGGGAGTGCTGAGCCCGGTGCTTGAAGGTCCCCACATGTGTGTGTGCCTTTGGTAGCCTAGAGGACCCTTCACACTCATGCTATGATTATTGCGTGCTGGACTAGTGACTAGGGTAATGGTCTATGTAGCTTTTATTTAACTTTTTTCCAGCTTTTTTTTAACTTGCAACGTCCTGTATGGCTTCCTGCTGAACAGCTTTGCCATAGCTTTTTGACAGCTTTTCATCTTGTTTATTTCTTCTTATTTTCAAATTCTTGTTTTCTGGCTCTCTTAGGCAATGCACTTTCCAACGCTAGTCAACCATAATCTTCCAGGATGCGTCTCCCAAGATGCTTCTCTTGGGGTTTGAGAGAAGGCAAACGGCCCGTCTGGCCTTAGTGACTTTACTCAGATCAGGCAGTGTAGTGGCAAGGAAGGCCTCACAAGCAGCAGCTTACACTCGCGTCTCCCAGGTGGCGCAGTTGCAGTCCGACCTGGATGCCTTCAGGACCAAGCACCCCGGCAAGATTGGCAACCGGAAATGAGAGGGATCAACCCCCCAATCTCATTCATGAAATAAGGCGACACGCCTAAAAGGCATGTGACCGAGACGGTCAGTCCCTGTAATTTGAAAAACCGAATGAACCCAGGCAAATCAAATTGTTGAGTTGACATTGAGCCGTTTGAAACAAATTAAGTGATTGCCTTTAGATGCAGATTCAGTACTCTGATTAGTCAAAGTACTGGAGCAGTTAAGACAAAAATAATTGGACGGGATCGTGGTTGTCTCCTTCATGTGATCAATGTAGGTATTCATGGAGTTAACAGGTGCAAGCTCAGGCCCCCAAATCCGACTTCCACCCTGAACCCTAAATCCTACACTAAAATCCAAACTCTGAACCTTTGAACCCTGGCCGCAACAACCCTAAACCTTCACCCTGACAGGACACCTCCTATAATCCCTGAACCACTAACCCTAGACCGTGAACCCTGACCCTGGACTGTATACAGTTTACCCTGACCGTCAACTTAACTCGAACTTCCGCAGCCCCGTAAGACTCGTAAGACCGTATGAACTCGTACAAAAAAAGAAAACCCTACGGTATACACCCTCACCCCAAAAGGACTCCCCCCATACTCTGTAAATCACTAACCGTAAACTGCCGCAAACCGTGAACCATATCATACCTCCCCGAAAACAAACTGAGGCAACGCCGGTTTTGAGGAAAAATGTTCATGCATTTATTTCCCGAAAAAAAACGTCCTCCACTTGCAACACCCCCTACTTTAAAGACTGCGAACATCAACACCGAAAACATCCCAGCTTAGGTCGCCTTCAATTTCGAAACCCTACCCTAAATCGTGAGCGTCGCCCTAAGGCTAAAACCCAGACTCCGTAAACCCCAAACCCGCCAAATGCAGAATTGTCGTGGTTTTCGGATTTCGAAGCTCTCATACCTCGACTCTTGTCAGTTGCATGTGCTCCTCATGAAATTCTGAACTGTCGTCTTTTTCGGAGCTGAAACCAGATAAGTCACAAGCGGCCTCATGCGCCTTTGCTGAGACGTGTAGAAATTCCCATGTTTGAGAAGTCGCAAGTGACCCCTAGCAGAAATTACAAGTGACCCCTCTCCCTTCGTACTGAGATTTGTGTGGGCTTGACATGATTTGATTCTAAGGGTTCGGATGTGACTCACATGACATAAAGCTTTATGGGGTGGATCCGCGCGAACCAAAGTTGAACCCCCTCTTCATCGAGGAAAGGCGGACGCAGACACAGCGCCAACCGGTGCCTTGAAAGATGATGTGTGGGGTAAGGGTTTAGGAGACGAGGCTTTCTGCGAGGTGTGTATGTGTATATGTAATTTGAGAGGATCACCTCGTGAACCCCTGACCCAGGTGATTATTTCACCAGCTGTCGAAGGCCAGTTCCGACCCACAGCTACATGCTATGGGGAGAGGTAAGTAAGGTTCAGTTGGACCTATCCAGCACATCAATTTTATGAATTTTCCCCTTTGGACTGTTGTGGAAAACATGAGAGGTTAAGAAAAGCAGTACATAAATTTGTGGCACCACCCTTAAAGCCCAAAACCCGCGCATATTTGAAGACACACCGCAGCAGCGCATGAAAACTTGACCGTTTGCTTCACGGTGCTGCTATCGGATCCTACACTCACCGCAAATTTGTTTGGGTGATGTTCAAATCAACAGGATACTCTCTTGGTGTTGCAGCCCCATAGCATCCCATAGCGTTTCTAAGAGGGTACTCCGTAAATTCAAATCTAACTTCTCTGATCGATGTGAACCATCACATAGATCAGAGTGGTTTCAAGAGCCAGTGAGGTGTGAGAGCATATTGTCATCGCATGAGAGTAGCTCCAATATAGAAAAACTCCTGCAATCTTATTTGGTTATCTGAAGCTTCAGAACAGCCCGCCGTTGGGAAAATGTTGCCCCGACAGCCGCACACTTATATTCGATGGTTGCATGCTATTTGGGTGGTGGAAAAATTCTATAGCGACTACTACAGAAAAGATGAGTGTTCGGCAACGTACCTACCAGGTTTCGTTCACAATCAACTCTGGGAAGCCTTGGAGAGTGAGCCCTCTGGAGCAGAAGGCAAGTCAATCTCAGCAAGCGGAGGCGTGCGGCAAAACAAGCAGCGCCGCTTGCGCGCCCGGGTTAGGACGATGAAGGTTCGCTTTGCAACGTTCTGAGGGATATGAGAGTGGAATGATCTGTCCCAAAATACCGGTTGTTTGGCGTAGTATCCTGGACGCAGCTGAGCACTGCTTCAGATGTTCGGTGTAACTGGCCAAAAAAGCTATGAGCCATGCAGTGCACGCAGCAGCAGATCCATTTATTTCCTTGGTTTGGTCGGCTTGGCAGCTTGGGCGGGTCTATGTCAACCATGTTCCATTCTTTGTTTGCAGTTGCTTGGCAATCTAGAGGCACACGTTTATCCGCCCAATTTTGTATTTTGACCTCTGGCAGAACCTTGACTCTCCATATCTCTCCATGACAGGGCAGGCATCCATCCTTGCTATGGTACTTTGATTCCATAAGTAACTGCAGCGGGTATACGCCACAGCCCGGTTTCAGACCTGGGCAAACGCAATCAGTCATTATGTGCAAATGCCTGCTCCAGCTGCTGATTTTGATGTCATGCCTTCCGATTTTCGTGAGGCCGGCCACGCGTATTCCGTTCAAACCCAGGGTGTTTGCCAACTGCAAGCTGATCTATTCTGGTACGATTTACGGTTGATTCTTCAATTGCTTTGGGTTGTTTAAGCCATCTCCTTGCGCGATGTTCTTAAGTGTTGAGGAGTTGGTGCAGTGGCTCCGGGTTTGGGGATCGAGTCTACTGTCAATGCGACCCGCCAAATGTCCGACTGCGTCTTGAAATCGTTCTTCGTAGGAACAAGGTGCCCAAGAGATGTTCCGCTTGCAATAGCTCTTGCAAACTCGCCGCGAAGAGACGGAAAGGCCGTAGCAAAGGATTGATAGGATTTTGTTGGTTGAGGCGGATGAAGTTGGTGGGCGGCCGTGTTGCATTGATAGCAAGAGACAATATGAAGAGGATGCAGCGACACGTAGGCATTCTACAGATATGAAGAAACATGTTGCAGGAAATGGTGAGAAGTCACAGCGGAGTATGGATATCTTTGCTGGCATCAACAAGAGGACTCAGCATCCGCCCACAAGCTAACAGGGAGACCCTAAACAAGTCAAAAAGGCAACTTCTGTAAGTTTAACTGTTTATGAAGTACCTTTGTGGGTGTACTATGTGGGTTTGGAGAACAGTCAGTCCTAGCATCCCATGTCTGTTCTAAACATTCTAGAACAGAGGTTCGTTCAGACTCGGGTTTTACGGCCTGAAATTGCGGGTTGGAGGATTCAGTGTTTTTTGCCAAGTTCGTGGGGAATTGATGCTAAGAACCAGTCTTGTTTGCCATGGTTTTTCTCGCGTAAGCAGCCAGGGCACAGGGAACATCAGGGAACCGTAAACTAGTGCGAACCTGCGGGGCCCTTGCTTCGGGCCTTACGTACACTCACCATGATCTGACCAAGCTGTAAAATCAGTGTCGGACCATGTCAGGGTTTGATTGTTACCTGGGTTTTCTACGACTCTTCCTTGGCCCTTTATTTATTCCTCATTATGACAGTCCCTGTCTGTAATCCCAAAGAGCAGGATTCTGAGAATAGGGCTCCCAACCGGCAGCAATATGTTTCCGGTATCCATGATCTAGAAAACCCTTGTATACTGCAGGAGAAAAAG